GGTATCTCATGTTGGTTTTGACTTGCATTTCCCTAATGAGTAGCAATGTTGAGCACTCTCTTATGTGCTTGTTCTTTATTTTGTTGTTATTGTTGTTAAGTTGTGGAAGTTCTTTATTTGTTGTTGTTGTTGTTGTTGTTGTTAAGTTGTAGGAGTTCACTTTATCTGTTTTTACTCTTGTTGCCCATGCTTTTGGTGTCATATCTAAGAAATCATTGCCAAACCCAATGTCATGAAGCTTTTCTCCTGTTTTCTTCTCAGAGTTTTATAGTTTTAAGTCTTGTGTTTGGGTCTTCAATCTATTTGAGTTGATTTTTATATACGATGTAAGGTAAGGGTCCAGCTGTGTTCTTTCGCATGTGGATATCCAGTTTTCCAGTACCATTTGTTGAAGAGACTGTTCTTTCCCCATAGTGTGGTCTTGGCACCCTTATTGAAAATCAGTTGGGGTACATAAGGGTTTATTGCTGGGTTTCTTGTTCCATCATTGTTATCCGTGTCTGTCTTTATGCTGATACCACACTGTTGTGATTACTGTGTCTTTCAGGAAATGTGAGCTCTCCAACTTTGCTGTTGTTTTTGTTGTTGTTTTCAAAATTGTTTTGGCTATTCAGAGTCCCTTGAGATTCCATGTTAATTTCAAAATGGATTTCTATTTCTGCAGAAACATCATTGGGGTTTTGATAGGGATTGCACTGGATCTGTAGATCACGTTGTGTAATGATCTTCACCCTGACAATAGTACGTCTTCCAGTCCGTGAACACAAGATGTCTTTGCATTTATTGGTGTCTTTTGCAACTTGCGTTTGAAGGCCTACTGTAAGTGAAGTACTTATAAGTGAAGTATATGTGGTCATGGAAAAATAATTTAATCTTTTTCCTACGGCAGTGTACAGTCCAGTTTAAACAATAAGACAAATTGTACAAATAAGAGTGTAGATGGGAAGTGACACTGGCACCTTGGGGACATGCCACGGGGTCTGTGGAGGGAGGCGTGCCTCTGTGCTCCTCACGGCTGCCCAGCAGTAGGACCTGTGGGAGACAACAGGAGCCACGCGGGCCAGGGTCTAGTGGGTTGGAGACCTGGGTGACTGCAGGTGGCCTGGAAGGCCAAAATACAATACAGACAAGCCTGAGGGATCGAGAGGGAACATACACAGACACAAGCGACCCAGGAGGGCAAGAATAAGGCCAGCAGCACACTTATGAGTGTGGCAGTGTGTACACATCCCACAAGCAGAGGCAGGACAAACAGCAGATCCAGACAGGAGGGAGACCTCAGTGTCTGAGCTGGCCAGAAAGAAATCCAGTTTATTAAGGTCTCTCTCTCTCTCTCTCTCTTTCTCTCTCTCTCTCTCTCTCTCTCTCTCTTCATACATATACATATATATGAAGCAGAGTTTCACTCTTGTCACCCAGGTTGGAGTGCAATGGCACGATCTCAGCTTACTGCAACCTCTACCTCCTGGGTTCAAGATATTCTCCTGCCTCAGCCTCTCAAGTAGCTGGGATTACAGGTGCCTGCTACCACACCAGGCTAATTTTTGTATTTTTAGTAGAGACAGGGTTTCACCACGTTGGCCAGGCTGGTCTTGAACTCTTGACCTCAGATGATGCACCTGCCTCGGCCTCCCAAAGTGCTGGGAATTGATTATAGACATAAGCCACCACGCCCGGCCTATTAAGGATAATCTTAGAAGCTTTCTGCTGATCTTAGATCTCTCAGTTCTACCAAGAGAAAGCTCAGATTAACATTGCTGAGTTCTGCACTGCTGCCAACAGAGAAAACATCAAACACGGAACTTTCATTCCCCAGCACGTGCAGCAGTACGGAAGACACCCACTGAGGGTGTGATGTACGGAAGACATCCACTGAGGGTGTGATGTACAGAAGACACCCACTGAGGGTGTGATGTACGGAAGACACCCACTGAGGGTGTGATGTACGGAAGACATCCACTGAGGGTGTGATGTACGGAAGACATCCACTGAGGGTGTGATGTACGGAAGACACCCACTGAGGGTGTGATGTTGAAGTTCATTGTGTCTCTCTCGAATGCACCCTTGAAAAACAAGGCATTTGGGCAGCTATACTTTTAAATAGGAACAAATGAATATTGTTGTTTATCAAGTGCCAGGTGTAGGGGTTTTTCATACACATTATCTCATTTATTTCCTTACAACTCTGTGGCGTAGGGATCATGGTGTCCATCTAAGGAGGAAGAAGTTGGCATAGAGATCTTCTCAAAGATGGTAAAAACTGAACAGTCACATTTGTGTGATGCCAGCCACAGGCTCACATCTGAATCTGTTTTCTCCCAGGACAGAAATGGGGGCCAGGGTAAAAGTCTAGCTTCAGACCTGGACAGGATGAACCAAGTGTGTCCCACGCCCTGGGTGCAGCCCCCAACAACTGTTCTTCTAGTTAAAGGAGGGTGTGCACATAGGATGGCCGGAACCCTGGTGACACCAGCCCTGGAAGTGAAGATGCACAGAGCATCTGAGAAGGAGGCTCCAGGAGAACATCTACCTCCCTTCTCTGTTTTTTGCCAGGAAGGTTGAGATGCCAGTCCCAGGACAGTGTGCACAGAACTACTGTGAGACACCCTGCTGGGCCTTAGTGAGCCCCGCCAGGCTGCTCCCTCACAGCAACCGGACTCTTTGAACTTGTCATTGAGTTTTCCAAACCAGCACGACAGGTGTGAGCTGAAGACCCAGTGAGAAGGGGTGCAGGCTGCCCCACCAGACCCAGCACAGTGCCACACTCCTGGTGGGGCTGAGGCCCAGCGGGCCATGGTCATCCAGAGAGCAGCTCAGCAGGGCAGGTGCACCCACTGAGGACAAGCCTAGTTTTCCTCCCATGCAGGGCCCGGGAAAACCGATCTTCACTGTAGAGCTGGCCCTGCCTCCTCAGGGGACATGGCAGGGTTGCCGAGTACTTTTCTGTTTTGTTCATCTGCTCATTTGCTTTTCAATCTAGCAAGACTGTTTTATTCTTTCAAGCATTTAATCTTGAGAGTCAGAGGATGAGAATAGAAAATTGGCTGGGCACAGTGGCTCACAGCTGTAATCCCAACACTTTGGGAGGCCAAGGGAAGTGGATCACTTCAGGTCAGGAGTTCAAGATCAGCCTGGGCAACATGGTGAAACCCCCATCTCTACTAAAAACACAAAACAAATTAGCCAGGCGTGGTGACGCACACCTGTAATCCAGCTACTCGGGAGGCTGAGGTGGGAGAATCACTTGAACCTGGGAGGCAGAGGTTGCAGTGAGCTGAGATCATGCCACTATACTCCAGCCTGGGTGACAAAGTGAGACCCTATATCTAAATAAATAAATAAATAAATAATAAAAGTGTTGAATCAGTAGACAGTAAGGGTTAGGAGGATTTTTCCTCTGTGCTTGATCATTAAAATGAAATACGAATTGGTAGGAGAAGGCTTTGAGTGATTTGGATTCTGCCTGAATTTGAACGGACTGGAATGTTTCTTACATATGAGAATATTCTCAAAAAGGTGCCACCGCACCAAACCATCGGACGGGACACACCAGGGGTCTCAGAACCTAAGGAACCTCTTATGTCTTTAAAGGAAGAAATTAGCGTATAACTAATGGTTGTTCTTTTTTTTTTTTTCCTTTCCTGGATATGAGTTAGATGAAAAGAGAACTGTCAGAGCCACGGGCTAGAGTTGATCTTGTCAGTCTTTGCTGGGCTCACAGCTGCCCTGACAATTAAAACTCTTTGTACAATACATGCAGTTGCTGGTGGTACTGGCACCAGTCCCCACGAGCTAGATGAGGAAAGGAAAAGGAGGCCATCTCAGCGTGGCTGAGGGAACCTAGACGATTACAGCCAACATTGCCACTTTGCAGCTGAAGAAACTGAGGCCATGGAAGTCATTGCTTGCCCAAGGTCAGACGGCAAGACCGCCACTTCGGAAGTTACTTTCAGAAGGCAAGGTGCACATTCACTGGTCAGGAGATTGCTGGAAAGTTCCAGTCTGTTCTTTCAAGGGCTCTCTTGAGAGACGGATTTAGAAAACTGTGAAACCAGGCACTCACTGGCCACCCTCATAAAGGGACAAGACACCTAAAATGTTTTCCCGCAGAGCTGTGAGGGGCATGATATCTAAGGGGTGTCTTTGAAGTGCAGTAAAAATGTCGATTGGAGAAGGATGCAATAAGCTTTCTTTAAAAATAAAGAAGAGACAGTTTGGAAAGAACGTGGGGTCACTGGCCTTGTGTTTGAGAATGAGTTGGAATGTAGCAAAGGGAATAAGATGCCCTTTGAAAAGCCTGCACGTAAAGATGCAGTAATTAGGGCAGGAGCATGTGGATCTAGTGCATCTGTGCCTTGGATAACATGCCTTCATGTTACAAGGTGCAAAGATAGCAGATTTCAGTTCCTGTAGGACTCTTACTTTCATGGCGTATTATGAGAAAAAATAAAGTATATTGTTAAATGTGTCCTGAAAGAGGCTAGATGCACAGTGTTACAGTCAGTTTTAATGTTCATGGCGTAAGTATCATGAGTTAAATTTAGAGGTTAGGAAATTATCAGACATTCTGACCTCCTCAATTTGAACTAAAGGCAAGTCATTGACCTCTGAGTCTGAATTTTCCTGTCCGTGAAGAGTTAATGACATATACTTGAAACACAGGTTGAGGTGAATCACAGCAAGACTGTATAGAACCCCAAAAGAGTGATCGGCTAATTTCTTCCTAGTACCCAAGCTTACTTCCTGACAGTACATCACAATATTACTCCAAACCAGGCCCCCAGTGGCTAGAAAGGGTTAATGTGTCATTCCTGCCCCATGAACCCCAGACTTATTGGCAAGTGATTTGCAGCATAACCCAAAACCTGGTGTATGAATAATATTTGAAGGACAGTGTTATAAATTTACACTTTTTAAAAATAAGAGTTGTAATTATATGTGTGTAAATGTGAATGATTGCCTTAAACGTAAGCTCGTGTTCTCTTTCTGATTCTGTATAGTGTTGCCTTAACAACCATTACATCTGGAAATTTGGAGCAAAAAAGTCAAATAAGAGTTCTCAGAAGACTGTATGTGTTAGATCTTTTATCAGCAAGATCTCTGGGACAGCCAGCGGAGAAGTCAAACAGGGAAGCAGCAGGCCAGTGATTGTCGTAATATTTTAAACTTAGACCAGTAAAATGGAGCTATTTTACAAAAAACTATGGCATTCAAAACTGCTAAAAGTTATGTTTCATTATTTGGGAGCGGTCATTAACTAGACAACCTATGGTTAAAGTATTACGAAACTAACGGATGTGAAAGTTCTCTTTGCAAAATCTCTTTGCATTTTTACTAAGGAGGCAAGAGCCATGCTTTTGTGTGTGCAGAGGAAAATTTCATTGCATATTCTTAACGTGTTCAAAATAATTCCTTGCTATTGATACTTGTTCTAAGTTTTCCCCATATAAATTGCAGTAGCACTGTGAGACTAATTGTGAAACTAAGCCATCTTTTATGGAGTTGCCCTTAGAGGTGATGTAAAATAGTATTTAGGGTCTCTTGTGTTACTGAATACAGATCATAGGCAGCTTCAAATAAGTGGGCAGTTACATCAGAAAGCATGACGCTGAAGAGAAAGGTTTCCTTTGGACCAAGGTAGAACCTGAAATGTCCAGATATATTGGAAACATGAAATTTATCCAGCATAACTTCCACTGCTATCTGCCACACAGAACAACACTGCTTATATTGTCAGTTCTAAAGAATGATAGTGAGAAGACCCTGAGAAGAGAGCATATGATAAGCCATTGCCCAAATTACAGAGCTCCAGGCCTGTTCCATCTAATCAGGAGAAAGAGCTTTAGGCGAGGATGTGCTCACGCTCTCGAGAGATATATTTTGAGTACTCACTATAGGCAAATAGGTACTGGGCTCTGAACAGGGTGCTAATGAACAAGACCCAGTTCCTTTACCATCCGGAAGCCCCTGCAGGTACGGAACACCCGCGATCAGGGATGCGGGAACGAAGCTGGTCCCTGGGATGAGAACAGCTGTGGTTCAAGGGAAGCTCAGACTGCCAGCATCATTGTACTCTGAGAGGAGGTGGCATTCGGCTGGCCCTGGAGGGATGGGTACAGTGTTGGTGGGTCCAGATGCTGCGAAGGGCATTCCAGGAAGAAGGACAGGCTTGTCCTTCCCCACTCCAGCCTGAGAATGTGTCGGAGATTCCCCAGGACTCAGCCCAGGCGACTCCTCCTCTACAGAGCCACGTTCCACACAAGAGTGGGGACTCACGCCCCTTCCTACTTTCCTTCCACTGTGCCCAGCAACTAAGTCAGTGTCTTGTCACACTACATGGCAGTTCCTGGCATATGTGTCTGTGTCCCCTTGGCCTTGTTCATTAGCACCCTGTTCAGAGCCTAATACCTATTTGACTATAATGAGTACTCAAAATATATCCCTTGAGAGAGTGACCACATCCTCTGGTATAGCTGAAGGTATTAATTCTTATTTCAGTATCCCAGGTATCAGCTTCCAGACCCTTCAGCCTGCTGGGGACACTCTGTTTTTAGGATTTGGGGGTGGGAGAAGCTGCTTAAATTCCTGTTCCCATCCAGCAGGACACCCCATGTCTCCCCGGTAGCTCTGAGAATTACCTGGCGCCACTGAAACTCTGAATGCCCTGCATCCTCCATTTCCTACATCCCAGAGCAAACAAGATGTTCCGTGATTGCAGGTGTTCAGTAGAGGGGTTATATCTTGGTTAATAAACCACTTTAAAGCCACATAGTGGACAGGCCTGTTCTCGAAGATTCCTGGTCATTGTTTCTTGCAGAACACTGGTTCCTCTGGGAAGGGATGGAGTTCCTCTCCCTCTGCACCTGCCCAGCTGCCCTGACCAGCCCTTGTCACCTTTATGCAAAGCAGCCCAGCCCTTTCTGCCATCCCTCCTCCCTCGCCAGGGCAAGGAAGGGGCAAGAGGCCTGACTACCGCCCATGCCCACAGGAGCCATCAAGGTGGTCTTTTTGTAAGAGACTGAGTGAGCCCAGTAGGACCCCTCTGACCTGGCTTTTGAACTAACCTCCCCAGCCCACCCCCCGCCACATGGGGCACCCAGGACCTGGAGTGGGCAGGCACTCAATGATGCCTCTTCAGGGAGTTTTCTCAGCGCCGAAGTGGGGAGTCTTCAGCCTGTGCCTGATTCCTGGTTAATCTGACTTTTCCTGAATGCAGGGTATAGTTGGAAAAAAATGGGAAATAAACCTGGAAAAGGAGGTTGGCATCATATTGAAAGATACCGGGCTGGACACAGTGGCTCATGACTGTAATTTCAGCACTTTGGGAGGCCAAGGTGGGTGGATCACTTGAGCCCAGGAGTTTGAGACCACCCTGGGCAATGTGGCAAAAATCCATCTCTAGAAAACAAAAACAAAAATTAGCCATGTGCTGTGGCATGCACCTGGAGTCCTGGCTACTTGGGAGGATTGATTGAGCTGGGGAGACCGGAGGCTACAGTAAGCCATGATTGTGCCACTGCACTCCAGCCTAGGTGACAGAGCCAGACCCTGTCTCAGAACACAGTGGCCAGATATTGGAAGTCAGGGTGAGAGTTTGGCTTTTATTTGGCAAGTAATGGAGGGTCCTGACTAAGGGACAGTCACAGAAAAGCACTGGGTAGAATGAGCACGGACCCAAGAGCAGGGGAGGGCTGGTCTGTGAAGGGGGAGGATGTTGTCATCCTCCAAGGACATGGGAACTGGGGGCTTGGGCCACCGCGGTGGTGCAGAGACGCAAGGAAAGCCTGAGTGCAAAAGGTACTGGAAGTGGGCAAAACAGAGAAGGAAGGTGACCAAGATTTTAAGCCTCAAGGATGAGAGTGAGTGAGAGGAATGGCAACAATGCAACAGGAAAAGAACAAGTGCATTCAGTTGGGGGGCGATACTCTGACTTCAGTTTTAAGCATCCCTTGAAGCATTCCACAAATACTGATGGAGTGCCTCTGCCTGCCAGGCACAGTGCCGGGTCCTGAAGACAGGGGTCCATGTGACGCACTGAGGTTCTAGGGAGGCAGACGACAGGGTAGTGGGTGGATTGACAAAATAACCACAGATTGTTAAAAAGTCCTCAGAGAAATGAAGAGGACACTGCTAGAGAGAAGCGAGGTTACACGTGGAGACTTCTCACAGGAGGTGCTTGCTCTAGAAGGGAGACGCAGCGGTGGCCATGGGCACTGGCTGCAGCTGTCAGGCTGGAAAGAAGAATGCGGCCCTGGAATCCAGAGAAACGCAAAGGCTGAAGATAGAGATAGTGATGTCCTCGCACAGAGGCCGTGGTTGAAGTTGTGTGCAGAAAGGGGCCCACCCCGGGAGAGCCTGTGGAAAGCAGAGACACTGAAGCCAAGGGCACAGCCTTGGACCGGGAGAGTGGGAGGAAAAAAGCAAGTGTGACAAGGCAAGGACAGCATGGGGAACACCAGGCGAGGGCTGCGGACCTCCAGGACAGGGGTAAGAGTCCCCGGGCACTTGAGCATGCCGTGCACATGCCATCCTGGGGGTAGAAGGCGCCATTTGCACAGTGATTGAAAAGTGCTTTCTGCCCTCAAGACAGCATCCATGGGATATTTTAGTGCTGATGGGTGCCGGAAGCTACGCTAGGCACAGCACGGGTGACCGGAAATAGGCACCACAGATTCTCTGCCTAAGGGGGCTTGCATTCAGTTTGGGGGAAAGTGTGCTGGATGACAGGGTATAAGAATCACGTAGGCTGGGCGCGGTGGCTCACGCCTGTAATCCCAGCACTTTGGGAGGCTGAGGTGGGTGGATCATGAGGTCAGGCGTTCGAGACCAGCCTGACCAATATGGTGAAACCCCATCTCTACTAAAAATACAAAAATTAGCTGGGCATGGTGGTGCATGCCTGTAATCCCAGCTACTCAAGAGGCTGAGGCAGGAGAATTGCTTGAACCCGCGAGGTGGAAGTTGCAGTGAGCCAAGATCGCGCCACTGCACTCCAGCCTGGGCGACAGAGCAAGACTCCGTCTCAAAAAAAAAAAAAAAAAAAAAAAAAAGACCAAGGTTTGAATCTCATCCTGATACACCCCACTTCCTAACCTCGTGACTCTGGGCAAGTTACTCACTAAGCCTCAGCTTCCTCATCTGCAGAATGCAGGTGCTGGCCAGGCCCTGAGGTGGCTGAAGCAGTCAGAGCTTGCAGTGGGTGCAAGGCTGGCAGTACAGGTGCAAGAAATGGCAGTGGGGGTGGCCATGAACCCTGACTCTGTGGTCACCAGAAAACCTCACAGTCCCTCCTCTTCGCCATAAATCAGGGACCTTGGGATCTCCTTCCTGGGGGGCAGCAGGGATTAGAGCAGCACCCTGTGGGAGGGTACCTGGCTCCTCCCGACAGGGGATGCTGAGAAATGTTGGCCGACTCAGAGCACAAATTTCATCTTCCAAAGTGGAGAGAATGTCAGCTGGGAAACGGGAAGGGAGGACAAAGTGCAAGGTGGTGAGAAAGGCAGGAGCACGGTGCAGGCAGCAGCAAAGGTTTGAGCCGGTTGGGAGTGCAGCCCACGTCTCACGTGCAGCCCATTTATGGCGAAGGTGAGAAGCCAGCAGGAAGGCAGGAGGGCTCTGGCCGTGTTGGGGACAGGTTTGGATGCCCAGCAGAGGCTTCCAGGAGGCAATCTGCAGTCCACCTGACAGGCCCTAGTCACAGCTGCAGTGCCATCTGCTATCGCTCACATTCCCTCCGGTGGAATCGGGGTCTTCCCTGGTGGTGGAGGGCCCTCCTGGGGTGGGTCCCTGGAGGAAGAGTGGATCCTCATACTGGTGGCTGCAGGCTACTGGTGGCTGCAGGCTACTGGTGGCTGCAGGCTGAGGTGCCGTGAGGCTGAGGTGCCATGAGGCTGAGGTGCTGTGAGGCTGAGGTGCGGTGCCGACCCACCTGCAGGCTGGGGGTTCCTTGCCAGAAGAGCAGGCCGAGGACCTGGGGCAATGTCGGTCACAGGGCTGGGCCCTGGGGCTCAGAGGGGAGGTATCTGGGGACAGCGGGAGCTGGGTAAGGGCCGCCCACCCTGGGAGCCTTGTCAGCTGAGGGGTCAGGCTTGGCCTCTAGAGAGGATCCACCTGCAGGGTGCTTTTCTCCTTTGTTTCCTCTCAGGGTTTGTAAAAGGACTTTTTTTTAGAGGGGAAGGGAGCTGGGAAGAGACTTTCAACTTTTTAAAATTTTTAAACAATTTTATTGAGGTATAATTCACACATCATACAGTTCACCCACTTAAAGTATTTGATCAATGGGTTTTAGTCTGCTCAGTGTGCAGCCATCACCACAATCAACTCTAGGGCATTTTCATCACCGGAGGCAAAAACTCCGTAACCATTAGCAGTCCCCAGTGTCCACCCCGACCCTGGCCCAGGTGGTCACCTCTCTACCCCTGTCTCTACGCATCTGCCTATTCTGAACTTCCCCCGTCCCCACCTAGCTATAGGTATGTATCCTTTGACCAGCACCGCCACAACTACCCAAGGCCCTGGTAACCACATCCTACTCTGCTAAAAGGACTTTTGAAGGCTCTCTGCCTCATTTATGCCATGGGAGCTGAGGGAGGGATGAGCACCTTGAGAGCCACAGTTGCAGCAAGAGAGCCTCGGGGTCTCAGCTGTACCGTGGGCAGTCAGGGTTCATTTTCAGGAAGGCGTAAGGAAATTGCATTTCCTTACAGTGCCTGTGTGTCCCGCCAAATGGGCTGGGTCCTAGGGACACCAGGCTGAGTGAGATGCTGTCCCTGCCCTCCACACTTGTCTGGTCTGGTGAATCAATCCTCAGACACCTTCTATGAGGGCACCCTTGGAGGTTCCAGAGCATCTCACCTGGCTGAGGACCTCACCAAGCTCTACTTTTCACAAACTCCACAGGATATGTTGAGAATCACCAGTTTATCTGGGGAGACTCAGGGGAAGAAAAGCAGCTGGATAAGAAAATAAAAGGAAGTATGGACTGGCTCTGCAGGATGCCTCCTTCGTCAGCAGATGCCTCATGATGTGGTTGTGCTACTCGGCTATGGCCAGGGCTATTTTCAAGCCCCCGAAGAGTCTCTGTGAACAGCTATTTTAAAATAGGGGACAAACCTCAGTGAGAAAGGGGACTCCGTGAGGAGTAAAGGTAAGGGGCTTCGTGGGGCCCAGCTTTAGGAGCAGAGATCCGAGGTCCATCCTGATCTTCCTGTTGGACTTGGAGAGACAGACCATCCAGGCGCAGCTTGCCTGTCGCCCACATGGGACCAGCACAGCTGCCCACCTCTGCTGTTCACAAAGACACAAGAAGCCATCATGAAGGCAGGATTTATAGAGTCAAAATATTACCCCACGTCTGTTATGCGTAAGGACTCAGGACGATGGTCACCATAGAGCCCTGTTCTCCAACCTAGGGGACAAAGACCAGGACGATGGTCACCATGGAGCCCTGTTCTCCAACCTAGGGGACAAAGACCAGGTTGACCTTCCCCTTAGGGGAAGGTGGAGATTTTGAAGGAGAAATTTATTTTCTCCCTGACAAAACCAAAATGTTCAGACAAATCCCCCTTAGGGGGAAGGTGGAGATTTTGAAGGATAAATTTATTTTCTCCATGACAAAACCAAAATGTTCAGACAAATCTGAGCAACAGTTATAGAACTGATGCCTTTGGGGTAGGATTAAAGACGGAAACTGGCCAGGTGTGGTGACTCACGCCTAAAAGGCGTAAGGAAATTGCATTTCCTTACAGTGCCTGTGTGTCCCGCCAAATGGGCTGGGTCCCAGGGACACCAGGCTGAGTGAGATGCTGTCCCTGCCCTCCACACTTGTCTGGTCTGGTGAATCAATCCTCAGGCACCTTCTATGAGGGCACCCTTGGAGGTTCCAGAGCATCTCACCTGGCTGAGGACCTCACCAAGCTCTACTTTTCACAAACTCCACAGGATATGTTGAGAATCACCAGTTTATCTGGGGAGACTCAGGGGAAGAAAAGCAGCTGGATAAGAAAATAAAAGGAAGTATGGACTGGCTCTGCAGGATGCCTCCTTCGTCAGCAGATGCCTCATGATGTGGTTGTGCTACTCGGCTATGGCCAGGGCTATTTTCAAGCCCCCGAAGAGTCTCTGTG